ATTGAACTTCCTCTTTTTGGAATGCCTCCATTCCTGCGAACCATCTTCTGGAATCTTCTTGTCAAGTAGGCCATGTCCCCATCTTCACCACTTGAGTCATTGTTGTCCGTCTTGAGGACCAGGTTATTCTCCCTCTTGGGCTCTCTTCTTTCATTGTCATTCTTCTTCTTCCTTTCATAGGTTTTCAAGTTTCCAACAAGTTCATCCATTCTCAGTGTCTGCAAGTCCTTAGCCTCTATAGTGGCGTTAGCTTTGCTTTCCCAAAAACTAGGCAGTACACTAAGAATTTTTCTGACAAGCTTGTTTCTCGAAATACTTTCACTAAGAGAGTGAAGCTCATTGATAATGGAGGTGAATCGAGTATTCATATCTTGGATGGATTCATCATCTTTCATTCTGAAGAGCTCATATTCAGTTGTGAGCATATCAATCTTAGATTGCTTCACCTGTGTTGTTCCCTCGTAAGCTGTCTGAAGAGCCTCCCAGATCTCTTTTGCTGATTGACATGCTGATATCCTATTATATTCATCAGGACCAATGCCACAAACAAGAATTTTCTTGGCACGAAAGTTCTTTTCTATGGCCTTTTTGTCAGCGTCATTGAATTCCTTCCTGGTCTTGGGGATGACTACACCTGATTCGCCAAGGTTCTTGGTAGGGACAAAGGGTCCGTCACATATAACATCCCATATCTCAGAATCTTCAGCCATGATGAAATCGTGTATCTTCGTTTTCCACCATCCATAATATTACCCGTTGAACCTTGGAGGTCTGTAAGTAGAATGGCCTTCTTCGAAGTTTGGAGGAGCAACCATGAGGATCCTTTCTAGCTGTTAACCTGTTAGAAAGAACCTGCTCTAATACCAATTGATAGAATATAAGGGTCCACCAAAGTCTATAGAGAACCAGGTTCTCAATCAGATTCAACAGTACACACACACAACAGTAGATAAATGACAAGAGGAATTTTACGTGAAAATTCCCAGATCAACGGGATTAAAAAAATCCTTGTAGGATTTCAACTTTACTACTGAGCAACATTTGGATTACAACCTATGCAACCTAGGAATTAAACTCTTAATCCCTTGCTAACTTGTAATACTCTATTACAAGACACTTTGTAATAACTCTATTACAAAGACTTTGCAACTTGACTAACTCTAGCCAAGACTTAAACACACAGGTTTAAGGTTTACAAGGGTTTCCTACTGAATGCTTCTAAACAAGCTAGATAGAAATTACAATTGAAGAACTATTACAAAGTTACAACTCAACTAAGGACATACAATAACTCGATATGGGAACTGGTCCGTAGTTGCTTTGTTCTTTGTTCTTGAAGCACTTGAAACTTGCTTGCTGGATAGTCACGTGAGTGAGCTTGTCAAATGTTCGAGTGAGTGTGTTTTACCTCCCTTGATTGTATATATACATGTGTGACATCACTTACAATTATGTAAGCAAGGTAGGTAAAAAGTCTTTCCTGGAAAGTTGACTGCAGTACTGTTCCTGCACTGTAGCGTGTGCAGGCAGCAACTTTCCAGCTGGAGAGTTGACTTCGTACAGTCTCCTCGGGAACTGGTAGGGACCTGTTCCCTTAGCTGTTTCTTCCACTCTGAAGATTTGAATCATAACGCAAGCTGGATCCCAACTTGGAACCTTCTGATCTTAAGGTCTTGTAAATGCGTAACAGGTTCTTTATCTGGTTCTTGGATAGTATGTTTGTTAGATCATCAAAACATAAAGCAAAGTACTTATGAACAAAGTACTTGTAACCTATCAGCAATGCTAAAGGAATTTCAGGCTGTTGAGTCCAATCAGACTTGGGACATTGTTCCCCTTCACTAAAAGGTCATCCCTTGTAAATGGGTTTACAAGATTAAACAAAGGGCAGATGGTTCCATTGAAAGGTATAAAGCAACGCTTGTTATCACAGGTGATACTCAGAGAGAAGGTATTGACTTCACTGAGACATTTTCACCTGTTGTCAAGCTAACAACCATCAAATGTCTTCTGACCTTAGTGTGAAGAGAGGCTGGACTGTTTTTCAGTTAGATGTCAATAATGCCTTTCTCCATGGTAACCTTCATGAGGAAGTATATATGAAGATCCCACCTGGGATGGATGTATCTTCTAATTATGAATCTCCTCTATTGGTTTGTAGACTCAAGAAGTCTCTATATGGCCGCAGGCAGGCTTCTAGACAGTGGTTTTCTAAACTGTCTGAAGCACTGCACTCCAGAGGCTACATTTCTAGTCTCAATGACTATTCTGTCTTTACAAATTCCTCTTCTGGTTCTCTAGTTTTATTGGCAGTCTATGTTGATGATATACTGCTAGCTGGTGATGACATTTCTGAGCTAAACTCTTTAAAGATGTTCTTGGACTCTCAATTTAAAATGAAGGACCTAGGTTTGGTGCATTACTTCCTAGGTTTGGAAATTTCCCAGCATCCCCAAGTATACTTAAAGAATCAGCAAAAATACACCACTGATCTTCTTCAAGAATTCAATTGTCATCACTTCTCCCCTGTTTCTACACCTTTGGATCCTTCTGTTAAGCTTATTTTGGACATGGGAGCTCCTGTTTCTGATCCAAGTGTATAGAGAAGACAAATTGGGAAATTAAATTTCGTATAACAGACAAGACCTGACATCTCTTTTTATGTTAAACATCTAAGCCAGTTTCTTCAGAAACCCCAGGTACCCCATATGATGGCTGCTCTTCATGTTCTAAGATATCTTTTGCATGATCCTGCTCAAGGTATATTACTCTCCAGTTCTGCTGATTTGTCTCTTGTAGGATGACTCTGATTGGGGATTTTGTGTCATCTCTCGTAAGTCAGTGAGTGGGTCTTCTCTCTCTTGGTGGTAGTCCTGTGTCCTGGAAGAGAGAGAAACAACATACCCAACCATCTCTTTATCTTCACCTGAATGAAGCTGGTTGCAGAAGTTGCTTGATTAATCCGGCTCTTAGGTGATCTTGGTTTGGTCATTTCACTTCCTGTTCCTATTTATTGCGACAGTCAAGATGCCCTCCACATATTAGCAACTCGGATGGCTTCTCTTGCTCTCTCTTTTCCTTTTTTTTTTTTTGAATTGTGATTTGAATAGACAAAGATCACTTGAATTTCTGATGTGTTCTCTAATTCTCGTGTTTTGTTGCGAGTCTAGCTTTGCCCATTGTGCTAGAAGTTTGAGTTTGCATATCTGAAAGCGTAAAGGTTATTAGATTCTTTTACATCAATAATTGGGTATATATTAGTTTTGTCAAATTAATTACAAAATTAGTTTTTCTAGTTTCAAGAATAAATAGAATGTTTATGTGTAAACGCTATAGTAAGTTTTTTTACGTGATTTATAGACAAGTGAACTGTTAGTTCAAATTGAAGAAGATGATGAGTCTGATTCCAGGCCCAATGTTTGTGAGGACAAAAATCACAGATAAAAATAAAAGCAATGTAAAAGAGTAAATAAAGTAAAGCAAAAATGAAATGTAGCATGCGTTCAAGGACTTTCTAGAAAACAAGATATTAGGATTAAGTCCCTTCTCTAATTCATGTGTTTGATTGTGAGTCTAGCTTTGCCCATGTGCTAGAAGTTTGAGTTCTGCATATCTGAACGCGTGTAGGTATAGATTCTTTTACATGTTGGGTATTTATTAGTTTGTCAAATTAATTGCAAGATTAGTTTTTGTAGTTTTAAGAATAAATTGAATGTTTACAAGTAAATTTATTATATGGTTTTTAAACAAGCGATTTGGTCCAAAAATGATAAGTGAAGATATAAGATTAAAAATAAAACTTAGCAGTTGAAATTGAAGGACATGACAAGTCTAATGAACCTACTATTTATAATTGTACCTAAGGAAACAAGATTTTAAGGATAAAAGAGTTATTGATAAACATGTAACGGCAAACTTTGAGTGCAAATATTCTTTGCAACGGTCGCTCATTTTGTTATAGTGAAGCTCAATAAGCTATGGTGAATCCATTAGAAGAAAACCCTAGAAGGGTCAAAGAGAGAAGAGAGAGAAACAGGAGACGAATTATTAGAAAATATCTGTCTAGTTCGAGCAGTATTTATATTTACAAAAAAAAATTGGAAAAAATGTAATATATAGTACACTGATATTCATTATCAAGAAAAGATTGGGTCGGGTCACTCTGTTGGGCTAGCTTTGTGGTCGGGTCACTCTGTTGGGAAAACTGTGTGTGCAAACTAAGCTCTAACATCCCCTTCAAGCTTGAGGGTAATGAAACACCAAGCTTGCCAAAAATATCATAATGCAATTGACCGGGCAATGCTTTAGTCATAATATCAGCCAGTTGACCTGAAGTAGAGACAAAATGCAAAGTAATAAAGACCAACAATGATGCATTCACCACATAATGAAAGTCAATTTCGATGTGTTTAGCCCGCTTATGGAAAATAGGATTTTTGGCTTAGCAAAATATGGAGCGGCTTTGGGAGAGTACCTGCAATAATATCAAGGGCTTTCACTCGATACGTCTCCGCTTAGAGCCCCCTTCCATCAATAGGTACTCCCAAGCCATCGACCACACGCCCTAGCATAGATGGTACTCCCAAGCCATCGACCACACGCCCTAGCATAGCCTTAGGTCTCCGCTTAGAGCCCCCTTCCATCAATAGGTACTCCCAAGCCATCGACCACACGCCCTAGCATAACCTTTCCCGCGGTAAGCCATCAACCACACGCCGTAGCATAGTTTTTCCTGCTGGAAAATCCACAATAGATCCAGTGCGCTTGACAATATCTTCTTCTTTAATAGGAGTATCACCAAAGACATCATCTTCTTCTTTAATAGGAGTATCACCAAAGACATCGCAAAATGAACTGAGTGCAGACCAACAAGACACTATCTACTTAAGAAAAACCACTGCTTCTGCACAGACCGCTCCTATTTCTTTCTTTTTGTTTAGATGAACCATCTGCCGAAAGGCAAACCGGGCGCCACGCGTCGACCACAACAAACCACAACAAAAAAAACCAACATATACATACAAAAGAGTGCAGTACCAGTTTGCATAGATATACACTATTAGATAGTAAGTGTTTGATTACAAAAACTAGCATTTATTCTTTATCCACTTATACTATCTACATAGTCCTACCATAAAAGCTTTAAACAAAAACTCTAGGAACAGATTCCACAGGCTTGCAATCAACTTCTCTTAGCACAGTCTTAATCCCATTGCTTCCTGCATTTGCAAGTGGATGTATTCCATGAGCTAACCCTTCCATATTTGCCCTCTTCTCTCTTTCTTCAGCAAATGATACTCCGTAACGTTTCTCCACATCTGTAGAGATTTACAATATAGTGTTATTCTAGTCTAGAACAACAAAGAAAATTCTAACATTTTCACGTTAATGGAGTTCTTCACTTGAACGTAAGAAAAATCACAATTTCACTTATAACTAACATTCGATTTACACTAATTTCTCAAATGTTGAACAACATTTTCATAATCCAACCATCAAGAATCTTGGCTTGTAGCATCCAAAAACAAAGTAATTACGGTGTAATTACTACGTAAAAAATATTTATAAGGTAATTTTTCGATAAGTATCTATTACAAAATATTAGGAAGGAATAACCTAGCAAAAATGATAACTATAACAAGAATAGAACTACATATAGAAAAGACTACTTGCTCTATGACATGTTAAAATAACGTATGGTATTGTGTACAATACTGTAATGGAATATAACTAAAACACATCTTATTCAGTTTTATTCTAGCTACCTAGCTATAATTAAATAATTAAATGGAATTTTCCTTACCTTGAGCAAGATTCTCATAGAGCTGGCCATCTCTAGTGAGTGCCATCATAACTTGAGGAATTCCTAGGGGAAGTGTGTCACCTCTATCTACCTGCCAGAAATGGATGACTTTGCCATAGGTTTTGGCAACTTTTTCAAGATCTTGTCGTTGAATCGGACCAGGAACACCAGGCATGAATAGCACACCACTTTTTACCTCGAACTCGTGGGAATGCCAGAATTTCTTTTCGTCGTCAGGTAGCGTTAAGAAGAGGTCCTCTGAGACAATGTACTCGAGCCCAATCAGCCGGCCATCGGCATCTGGCCTGTCGTAAATGAGACACTGCCTGAATTCTTCGTTTTGGTGTCCACAGAAGTGGTGCGCCTCGACTTGTCGAGTCATGTCATGTCCATAGAAATGGAACCTGAAAATAGATGCATATTATACAAATTACCTCAGCAATCTGAAATAATAGTTCAGAGAACTTAACACTTTCTAAACTACTATTTCAAGTTTAATGAAGCAAATATAATATTTTTGACATATAAGACCACAAGTTCAAAAAAAAAATTCAATATAATCCACAAATTCTTGGCCAAAAATCTTCAATTTTTTTAGTTTCTTGTCCAATCAAACTATACCCCGTAAATTAAAACAATCACAAAATTTAAAAGGGAGGGAAGAGTTAAAAAGACAAAAAAAAAAAAAAAAAAAAAANCACTCCGATCACCAGTGGCAGATCAACCTTAGATTAAGGGGTGTCAATTCGGAAAATTACAGTGTAGCTAGGTCAAAAATAAATATATATATATATATATATATATATATATATATATATATATGTTAAATCCTCTCAGTATATTTACTTCTTTATATTTTGAAACGCGGTTGGAAAAATTCCTAATTCCGCTACTGATTCCGACCCACTACAATGGTTACTTTGCTGTAGTCTTATTTATTAGAAGATGCGATTAAGAGAATATAATAGGAAATAAAACTAACGCGCAAAGGTGCTGATGAATCTTGTTGATAGGACCAAAGCCTTGAATTGTAGCAGTTGCAGTTTCAAGAATTGCTGTTCCTGTCTTCGTTGGTTCACCTGGAACTTCTGGATGAGTTGATACATATTTACCTTCCATTTTTCTTTCTATTTTCTGCTGAAAAAACCTAAAATGAAATAAGAGCGAAATACAGTGATACAATTCTTCTGTATTGCTGATTTCTTGATTTTGGCCGAGAAGAAGAGGCTTATAGATAGGAAGATGAGTTGCATGCAGACTTACACGTGGCAATATACGTGGCAAAAGAGCCTGTGTTTGGTTTGATTTCGTTTTGTAACGTGGAAGTTTTAGGTGGCATTTGTTTGGATAAATATTGATAGCCAAATTAGCTGGCTCTTTCTTGTTCTGACTCGTTCTAGTCTAGAACTACAAGTGTGACAAAAGCTATTTCAGGTTTGTTTTTTGAGAAAATCCAACAAATTTCAGACCGATCAAATTAGTGTTTAGATCACTACAGTCGATGTTGGCTGCAGTTAAAAGGCCTTTGAGAAGAATGGGCTAGGCCTACATAAGAATATGTGAGATTTTATTTTTAAAAATAGCCAGATTTATGACTGGTCGTTCAAAAATAGTTCAATTTTAAAAGTAATTAAAATTTAGCCACTTTTTATGTAAAGATCAATCTGACCGAAAACACTGTTCAAAACCCGAAAAATACTCCAGTATATTATGCCGGAGTTCCAGCATAAGTATACTTGAACTCCAGCATATTATACTGGAGTTCCAGGATAGTATGCTGGAACTCCAGCATAATATGATGGAGTTCCAGCATAAATACACTAGAACTCCAGCATAATATACTGGAGTTCCAGCAAGTATAATGGTCCAGTATAATATACTGGAGTTTGGAGCACCAGTGCTCCAGTCTCCAGTATATTAAACTGGAGCCAGCAAAGTATACCGGTCCAGCATAATATGCTGGAGTTCATACACAAATGCACCGAACTCCAGTATATTATGCTGGACCGGTCTCTATTGCAGCAAAACGGTGGCTATTTTTCATTGACTTGGTACACGCTGTCTATTTTTGATTGACCAGTCCGAAAACTAGCTATACCATGAAATTTTGGCACTTTTGCGACTAGAAATTTTTGTAAAAATAGCACGGGCTAGCCAGTTTTCGGACTGGTTATTTAAAAATAGTCAGCGTTTACAAAGTCATTGAAAAATAGCCACTATTCTGCAACACGGAAAGTTCCAACATAATATACTGGGGACTGGTGCACCTGTGTATGAACTTCCAGCATATTATGCTGGAACTCCAACACGCGGAAAGTTCCAGTATATTATGCTGGACCGGTATATTATACTGGAACTCTAGCATAATATACTGAAGTTCCAGTATATTATAGTAGAATTCCAGTATATTATATTGGAGTATTTTTCCAGATTTTGAACAACGTTTTCGTTCAGATTTATCTTTACATGAAAAATGGCTAAATTTCGATTACTTTTGAAACTGTGGCTATTTTTGAATGACCACTTGTAAATCTAGCTATTTTTGAATTTCTCCCAAAATTTTTGGAACAATAAATTAAAGTACTATGTACTTGTAACCCAGGATATAAAAATTATAATTAATCGGAGCTCACTTTGAAGAGAATAACTAATATATGTGTGGTTTTAGATAACACATAAGTAATCTATGAATTCATAGAGATCTCCACTTTATAAAAAAATAATCATGCTAATAACTGATAAGCGATCAACTAGAGAGATATATGGGCGATTTTTAGGTAACACATCGGCAATCTATGATTTATACTATGATCTCCCACTTCACAAAAAAATATTCTAGTAATAACTAATAAGTGATCAACCAAAGATCACTTAGGCTATCATAAATAATATATTGGCAATTTCTAGATAATGCATAGACGATCTATGATTCACTAGCATCTTCAACTTTACAAAAAAATAATCATGATAATAATTAATAAGCGATCAACCGAAGATTAATTAAACCATCATAAATGATACATGAGCAATTTCTAAATAATACATACGTAAAAAGTAGCATAGTAATAACTAATTAGAAGTAAGGAATATAATAGGTATTAGATTCCTACTTATTAGGCCTCTTGTTAAAAGTAGGAATATAATTTGCATTACTTTATTAGAGTGATTTATGCATGATTTATTAGGTAGAAATTCAAAAATAGTGGTCATTCAAAAATAGTTACAGTTCAAAAGTAATCGAAATTTAGTTATTTTTATGTAAATATAAATCTGAACGAAAACACCGTTCAAAATCCGGAAAATACTCCATAAGTATACTGGAACTCCAGTATATTATAATGAAGTTCCAGCATAAGTATACTGAAACTCAAAAATATATTAGAGTTCCAGTATAATATATATACCAGTCCAGTATAATATGTTGGAAGTTCATGCACAGGTGCTCTAATCTCCAGTGTATTATGTTGGAACTTTCCGCGTGTTGGAGTTCTAGCATAATATGCTAGAAGTTCATACACAGGTGCACCGATCTCCAGTATATTATGCTGGACCAGTTCCAGTTGCAGTAAAATAGTGGCTATTTTTCAATGACTTTGCAAATATTGGCTATTTTTGAATGACCAGTCCTAAAACTGGCTAGCCCGTGCTATTTTTACGATTTATTATAGTTCAATTTGTTCTATTAGTTGATAAGGCCTATAAACAGATACAAATAAAAGATTGATTAGGAAACTTAGGTTTAAAAGTGTCACGCTATATTCAGTTACGATGGCAAAACCTATACGCAGAGACGGATGTAGTGTTTCATCAACGAGTTTAACTGAATCCATAACTTTTGACGCGAAATAAAAAGTTATATGTATAAATTCATTAAAATTGCAAAATTAGTAGATATGAACCCCAAAACTTTATAAATATAATGTATTCAATGCTAAAAACCTTAAAAGTTGAACCCATTAAATTTAAATCCTGAATCCGCTACTGCATCACATACAACTGTTTTTTTGGCACTAACTTTTTTCTTACACCAAATCATAGAATTTGAAACAGATAGCTCTAGCAGCTGCATAATCCTTAACGCATTTCCAACAGAAAAAAAAGAATAAGACAAATAGCTACATACTTAGCTAATAACGTGACTCCAAAGCAAAGTTTGCATGAAAATCTACTGCCTTGCATTTCACGTGCCTCTCTCAAACGACTCTTATATTAGTATTAAATTGAAACTTAGACTCTCAAATACACACAACAAGAAAAAGAAATTTTATTCCCAAAAATTATCATCAAATGAACTCTCAAGAAATCCAACAATCTTCAAATTCAACACAAATCCAAAGTGTTGAGATATCAATAAAAAACCTCATCAAAAGCTTGGATAAAAGGCAAAAATGGCATTTCTTTGTTATGAATCCAAAACAAGAACCAACCAAACAACAATGGAGAACAAATTTAACCAAGTTTTTAGAATCTATACCGCTTAGACTTTTCACTATTGTCTTGCTTATAATCGACCTCGTTTTCACAAGTCTTGAGCTCTCCTCCTCTTTGATTTCTTGCCCGAAAAATCGGAACACGAAAAATCAAGAAAAAGAAGAGGTTTGGTACCATTGGGCAGGTATGAGTAGATAGTTTGTACTCCATTTTTTTCAAAAAGAATGAACATATATATTACTATTTTGGGGAGTCAAACAAGGTTTTCTTTTACCATTTTTTTAGGAAAAAGGGCCAAATATATTCCTCTAATTTCGTATATTGTCTATATTTAACTCGGTTATACTATCCGGTCAAATTTATCTCTATCGTTATACTATCCGGACAAATTTATCCCTACCACATTACAAAAAACCGGAATTATTGCGGCGGTTAAATAACGGCGGTTCATCAAAACCGCCGCAATATATATCATAATACGGCAGCGTTCCAGATGCCATTAGTGCGTATGTTCAAACGCGTTTTTTTTTACAATTACGACGGTTCTTAACCGCCGCTATAAGCACATCTGACCGCCGCAATTATCCCAATTTTTTGTAGTGCCATCAGCAAACTATTCAAATTACCCCTCGATCTGGTAGGTAATCCAAAATCTCCCAATTTCCTTTTATTTAAATCACTTGTTGTTTGAAAGTAGAGGGGTAAAATATAATAGTTTTTAATATTTTTAAATTGTTAACTAGTAACTTAAATATTTTTTATGTACTTTCTAAATATATAAATTTATTTTTAAAAGCTTAAAGAATCTATGTCCGGATTCACACTAAAATTAATGTTTGACCTACGTAATCTGAATTCTGAAAAGGTTCAAACAAATGAAACAGAGGAGTAATATATATGAAGTAAGATTGTCTCATATCAGAAGGCAAAATATTGATTTAAGTCCTATATGTATAAACGAACATGTCTATACATGATAATGGTAAATATTGTGAAAAGCTTCGTACAACTCTATAAATTCAACCCTTCTATGAGAAGTCAAAGTCAATTTGTTATATACTTTATTATTTCCTTAAAAACTTTCTACTTTTCCCCTCCCGTGAATAATATACATGCAATATTAAATATTATATTTTTTCACGCCTCAAAGCCTTATTTTAATTTTTTCTTTCTATTTTTCGAACAGGTATAGCGATCTTGGGATTGTTATTTCTGAAAAGTATAGGCCTTGTTGTAGGTCTAGGGCGTGCGTTTTTTCTTAGACCGGGGTACTTGCTAGATGGCATAGTGGTAATGGTGGCATTATTTTTGGAAGTTTATTTGGAAAAAAAAGGTGGAGGATTACTTGTTGTAGTTAGTCTATGGAGAGTTGTTAGGGTTGTGGAAAGTGCATTTGAGCTAAGTGATGAGGCAATTGAAGCACAAATTGAAGAGATTGTTTGCCAATTTGAAGAATTGAAAGAAGAGAATAGAAGATTGATGGATTGTGTAGTTGAAAAAAATAAGGAAATTGAAAAGCTTGATGAAGAGTTGAATCAGTACAAAAATCAGGACAAAGAATCAAAGGACTAAGATTATTTATCTTGTTCTAAAGAATTAGACATTTTTTTCTAATTTATCTATCTATTATTTAATTTTTGTGATTTTTCCTAGTTCAATTTGATGTATAAATAAGTAAGTGAAATATCTTACAAATTACTCGTGATATAAGGAGAAAGGAAGAAAATTTGGTTCCCCAAGCTCTAGACTAATGACCAAAGAGAATCAAACAACTCTTATGAAAAA